CCCCCAGAGGATCATGAGACTTGAAGGACAGGTGACCCCTGGTTGATGTGCCTATGGATGGAAATCATGTACATGTTTATTAAAGGCATGCTCACCAGTCATCAAAATAAAGCCCAGCTAATTCATGGAGTCATAAAACAGAGGGGACCTTGTGCAGCCGTGTCTTGAAAGAACCACAGGTCTGCTGTGCATCTTCAGATGGAGTTTATTGAGCATGAGCTCCACCCCTTGCCCAACACTGTGGCTCTGGACTGCCTCAGGACCCAGCCAGTGCAACCAGGCAGACAGCAGAATGGATACTGCTCAGTCTTCCTGGTAGGGGACATGGAAGCCCAGGGTGCTCCCCAAGGGGAAGTGTGCAAAGAAGGTACGGGCCATGTCCTCCATCTGGGGGTAGGCGCCCATGGTCTGGAAATACTGCACATAATTCCAGAAGTCAGAGGTAGAAAAGGGCCAGTAGGGCATGGCTGGTGGTTCAGCGTAGGGGTCTGAAAGATACAAGTCACCGTCTCAGGGGCTGTCCCACCATCCCCGACTGAAGAACAACCCACACAGACCTGGGGCAAGTGGGTGGCACCCAGCAGTGCCTGCAGCGATATCACCTCAGCCAGGAGTGAGGTCTGAGTCCTGGCTATCCCTCTCCCTTTGGGATACTTGATCTGGTGGACAGGAAAGAGGAGAGGGAGGGAAGAGCAGGGAGTCCTACCCTTGTCTGGGGAGATGCAGAGCAGAAAGACAACTGGGTCGTGAGGACATGGGGCATAGGCAGCATGCTAATGGGGTTTCAGAGAACACAGTCCCCTTGTCCACCCAGGTGATACTGAACTGAGTTGGGACTCCAGGGACGGACCAGGGTCTGAACCCAGGATGAGGGTGGAACTTTGAGGGCTCATTGGCTCCCTCCTTCCCCGGGTGGTCTGAAATGGTAGCAGGCAAGGCCAGCCTGATGCTGTCCTGGCTCCCTGCAGGCACAGCTCCGTGCTGGCAGCAGGACCCGTGTCGTGCTTCCAGGAGGCAAGGATCCCACTGCTCTGCGTCTGCTGGTGCCGAGTCACTGCTTGCCAGGGGGTAAGCAGCCCCTGTGTTTTCTAGGGGTCAGAACCTCTGCTCCCCAACCCACCTGGATGCACCATTAACTATGTCAATGAAAGGAAAGATGTCAAA